TAATTATTATTATTATTATTATTATTATTATTATTATTATTATTATTATTATTATTATTATTATTATTATTATTATGTTGTAATGATGCTGTCTCTTATACACATCTAGATGTGTATAAGAGACAGGGCTACGGGCCTGCTAACAATAATAATCTAAAATTACATCATCGCTATACGTAGCCCTAACAATAATAATCTAAAATTACAACTTCTTCGCTATACGTAGGCCTAACATTAGTAATCTAAAATATATATATAGGCCCAAATGCAAAAGAAAATTAAAAATAAAAATTCTAAAAATAAAATTGAAAAATAGGAGAAAAGAGAAAAAAAGGACACTAATAAAGAATAGGCCCAGAGGAAAAGAAAAAGACGGGTTTGTTTGGGTACGGACTGACGGACACCCGCTAAAATCGACACGGTGGACCGACAGCGGCCAAAAGTAGTCCGGCGGACCGACTTTGACGGCTAAGATCTGTTCGCTGAACCTTTTTTGGCTCTATCAATTTTAGCGTGACAGTCTGTCAAATACGGTGGCGGCCGCCAATTAATTATCGGACACAGTTCAACATGGTAAAATGGCTGACATGCTTATCCCTAAAGCCTATCGTCGCAAAAGCCTATTTAATGACATTCATTTCCTTGATGTTATATTTTGTGAAATGGGTGCTATATGACTGATATTATAAACTAAAGCTATTATAACAGCTACGAATATTCTTTTAATCGCTATTTAATACTTAACCCTGTGATTGCTAATATTTTTTTAATGGGTGCTATATGACTGCCATTATAAGGTATAGCTAGTAACCAGCTACTAGTATGCTTTTAATCACTATTTAATGCCCTGATTTAAGACAGAAAAAAGTTGTTTGACGAAAAACTGGGGAACGGTGAACGAGATACAGATTTTTGAATATTTAAAACTGGGGGAAAAAGGGACGTGAGCCGCCCATTTTTACACCTTTTTCCCCCAGTTTTTAAATATTTAAAAATCTGTATATCATTCACCGTTGCTCCGTTTTTGATCAAACTACTTTTTTCTGTCTTAGAAAAATCAGTTCTACAACATATCAAAACATTTTTTTTCCTCCGGAGCCTGACTTAAATATGCTTTAATATCTAACGCAGCTATAACAGACAATTTCACAATGACTAAACAGCAAATATAGAACATATAAAACAGTTGATGTGCTACAGCAAAGATATTGATATATTTTATGAAGTGACTATATGACTGCTATGGTGTACGGTAAGAATGGCCCCGGAAAAAATGGCCCCGGAAAAAATGGCCCCGGTAAAAATGGCCCAGGTAAAAATGGCCCCAAATGACAGGTAGGTAAAAATGGCCCCAATAATAAAATTCTGTATTAAAAATTATTTTTTAAAAATCATTATATGCATTTTTTTAACTGAAATAATTTAGTTTTTAAAAAGGAATCTAACATCAAATAAATTGCCATTTACATCTTACTTTTTGCAGGAATTACATATTCAATGATAAAATATTCAAAGATAGAAAAAAGCCATGAATAACACTTTTTATTTTTTTCCCATTTAAATGTTAAAAAAATAGCAACAACATAATCCATAAATCAACATAAATCATGCATTTATTAATACTAAAATAATTTATTTGTGGCCAATTTCGCGGAAGCGGAATCAAAATTTTCCAGAAATTCAATCCGGGTATTGGTAAACCCTACAAACAATGAGTTATGAACATCAAATTATTATTTTTTTTTTTTATAGAAAAAGAGAGTTCTACAATCGTAATTAAAGGGTTTGGTTGGGGTTCGCAGTGTGTTTGGAGGTTTGTGGTGTATTTTCACCAAAAAAAAAATCAAAATTTTAACCAAAAAATAGGTTCTTATGAATATTTAATTTTCTTATTGATATACCAAGTGAGTCAATCAAAATTGAATTGTTTGGTTTTCTACAGTGTGTTTTGGGAGGTTTGTGGGATTTAGAAATACCGGTACCATTTAATTCTACCATAATTACCCTACCCTCACAATTACACGCCATTTTATTTCTTAGCATGATTGCCATATTTACATATGTATATATAGTATCTCAGTTTACATTACCGTATAGTTTTAGGCACTTAAATTTAGTTGGCGGGGAGTAAAAACCAAGTATGCAATTAAATAAGTTGCTTAAATAAATGTAGGCCTATTCCTAATTATTAAGTTTACTTTAAAAACAATATTTGATTAACAAATACTTCTTTGAAGTAACTCTAAGCAGAACATTTATTGCTAAGTTTGTTAGAAAGTAAGCCTCTCCCTTTTCCAATACATGAACTTGTGATTCAAACATACAATTGATCCACATGCTTAACTATTGTTTATTTGCACTGTTTATAACATCTAAATAGTTATTTCATTTGATACTTAACGAAAGTGTATTTTGTGGTTATCTATGAGTTTCATATTTTGGTAGTTGAAGTACTGTATGTATGCCATTCCACTTTGTTAGTGGAATAACGTTTTTAAAACTTATTTCTACTATCAAAAAATGTTATTCAATGGCCATTGTTTCCGTTAATCTCTCAGTACCGGTACATTATTTGCATCTGTTGTGTAAGTGTATTTGTTATTGACTCAATTCATGCATTTTACAGCTAGTATTTAAATATTTGAAGATTAAACGAAAGATATCATTTCTATTACTGAATGTTTTCATTGGGGCCATTTTTACCTACTTATCATTTGGGGCTATTTTTACTGGGGCCATTTTTACCTACATTCGACTGCTATAAGCTATAGCTAATGACCAGCTAGGCCTACTACGATGCTTATAAATGCTACCGTACCGTATTTAATTTTAATTTTATGTGGCGGCCGCCAGATAATTACGTGGCGGCCGCCACTTATTATCTATCTAAACTGGCGGCACTAACGGGCTTCCGTAGTATAAAGCCGGGTTTTGCACTATATTCGCGCGAATCGAAAGCCTCGGTTCATGCGCATGCGCATTCACATTTCTATCGGAGTTTTTGCGAGAGCGAAAAAATGCGCAACCAATCAGAGCTGAGGAAGCCAACCGACGCTTTGATTCGCACGAATAAATTCGCCAAGTGGAAAACAGGCTTAACATACACAACATCTTGCATACTGTGTGCACAAATTGTATCGACTAGGCCGCTTCGACCCTGCACAACACTAAATTGTACTGTAATCTGGTTTTTGATACGGCTTCGGTCCACTTTTTATTAAAATTTCGTCTTTTGGGAACTGATGCTTGCTAACATCGTTCGAATGGTTATGAAACGTGGCATTGTTTGGTAACAAAAGACTCTTCCTATTAAGGTCGTTTACACTATACAGCAGTCGTCGAGTCGGCCAAAATAACAATTACGACTTTTGCGTCACATCGGTTAAAGGTCAACATTAGGTTCGGTAGGCGGAGCTTCGAAGCCGAAACTGGCTCAAAATAAGCTATTAAAAAATCGTTTATTGACAAAACGCAGAAAAAAATAATAAAAAGCAACGAGGTAGTTTTTTTGTTATCATATACTATATTGATTTATAATAGTTTGAAGCAAATTAGTTTTCATTTCATTTCATTATTTATTTGGTCATTTACAATAACAACAACAACAAAACTGAAATTTGGGGAGACCAGGGACAACCAGAGTGAACAAAATCACTGTAGCAAAGCTGGTTTACCCAACCCCAAATTCAGCAACACATTAAAACATCAAACATTACAGCGAATCAAAATATAGAGAGAAACCTTACGAATCACCCCTGTTTACCTCTGTTGCAATGGACTAACCCGTGGGTGTGTTGACTATTAGCATTGATTTATTATAAACATATTTGAGAGGGCACGTTGCGTCTCTGGCGCTAAAAAGATTTTACAAGGACAGGTCGAGGTCGTGTTTTGTACTTGTAGTATCGTACACGATGGTGGAGTACGCAAAGCTAAACGGATGGGATATTGTCATAGTCGTTGTATATTTTTTATTTGTGTTATTAGTCGGAATATGGGTAAGTTTTGCGCTTTGAATAACCGTATGGAAGCCTTTAAAGATGCGGTTTTATTCGCATATCACTTTTACTGGATCAAAAATTATCAAATTAAGGCAAATTTTCTGTCATTAATTTTGATCTATTAATTAATTTAAATAACACTTAATTCAGTCCAGTTTGTACGGCACATTCCTTGTGAAGTACAACTTTATAGTTGGAAGCCTTTATTATTAAAGATCTGGCAGTTGGTATATCACATTTACTGGATCAAAAAATGATTAAATGAAGGCATGGTTAAAACAGCCGCACATTTTTTGTCATGCGTGATGGATGAGTGCCACGAACAAGATTTGGTTATTTCATACAGGGTCTGTGTGCTTATATAAAAGTTGTCTTAAGTTTTCCGTGTGGTAGGTACATCTATAAAAGAGGTCAAGGGTATCCTCTCAAATTTATTAAAAGCGGAAATTGATCATTTTAGGTACAAGAGGAACACGAGGTTAAACATTTTCTGTCTTTTTCTTTCGAGAATTTATATACAGTATGCCTATTGTATTTTTATATTCTCAACCTTCATACCAGGAGTATTAATAATAGGCCTAGGGATATTTCGCACGCGAATGCATACGTTTAGCTGCTATCCGTAATAACCATTCATTCCGTGTTTTTCGGCCTTCCGTTTACTTCTCCCTTGCTTCTCAAAATCAGATTTTGGCATGGCCTAAAGTTTTGGTATGCAAGGTTTTGGAAGTGGCAGACGAATAATGTTGCTTCCCTTGTTGCTCAGAAAAGTTGATTATTTTGTGATAGACTTTATTTTTTAAGACCCAATGCCTGGCTAAAAGCGGATAAGCTAGGCCTGGGCTAAGGCCTAACCGAAATTCTTACGCCACCAGGCACCGACGTTTTAATACACCAATCGGAGACGCTTTATATCATAGTCATACCGTAACTTGCTGTCTTCAAAAGTCACAAAAATGGCACGTACGTATTCAACTTACTTACTACTTGAGCCTTATCACAGGCCCATCAACTACTTTCCACCTCACACGGTTCTGGGCAATTCTTTCCAACTCTGACCATCTGAAGACTGTATCCTGATTCACTTATTTTCAAGATCTCTCCATGTATTCTTTTTCTTTTATTCCATGTAGACGTAGGCCTAAGCTTTTTTTCTAATGATGTTGTTGCTAGGTTTGCGTTGTATGGCCAATCCATCCCCATTTTCTCCTACGGATTTTAATTTCTACTAGCTCTTCACCTGTCCTTTCCCAGAAATTTCGTTCTTTATTTTTTTCAGGCCACCATATTCTAAGAATTCTTCTCAGACACCTATTGATAAAAACCTGTATTTTCTTTGTTGTGCATTTAACCCGTACATGTTAACACGTACATTATTTAAAACTGAAAACTATTCCACATAGGCCTATATATTACTGCTAGTTTAACGAACGCCGTTTGTGTGAACACTTTAATCCGTGGATTAGCTTACGCCTGGCGTAAGCCACGCCAGTCTTACCCCGCGTGTATGAACATAGCCTTAGGCCAACTACTAAAATCTGTATCCAAGCGTATCCAGTCAACTACAGAATTCAAAGGTCACTCTCGACCGATGTCAACACTTCTAAAAGAAATTGATGGCGAGCAACTTAAAGATTATTGTTATTTCATGCATGTTTTTTTTTATTCCTATGCATTGTAGTCATTATTTTTAAATTCCATCGGCACTAGAGCCACGCACGTAAGTAATTACATCAAAAGATACCCATCATTTCGCTAGGTCTATAACCAACTCGCCCGACATTATATTCAATGATAGTACTATGTATTTGCATGCACTATTTTACTTATTTCGACATGCGTATATGGCGCTCTAAATACTTAAATTTCAAAAGAAAAACAGATAGAAACAAGTGAAGGCCAAAACAACAGCTCTATTCAGAAAATGTTTTATAAGCCGACGTTTGGAGAGGTGCCGACACCGCTTCTCGCAAATCAGCAGGAAGTGCGTTCCATGTACGCTGATACGCGGATCTTAATAAATGTAATTGTTTGTTTTAATTTTTAATGATCTAAATAATTATCCATGCTCAATTATATATTGTTTTATTTATATATTTTTATATTCTATTTTAACATGCTAATTCAGTTTTTTTTTTAAAGAAATTGAAGCATTTTAAAAGATTTACTCATGCGTACGCGCACGTCATGACGCACGTGCGCATGGTAATGTCACGAAATGTTCACTCATGATATGAGATATATGTATCATCGTCAAACGCCTGTTGGTGAGGGACTTATTATCATTCATAATATTTACCGTACCATATATAAAAATTCACATTTTTGAATTCAGATGGCAATATGATGATGTCACAATCTCCGATCATCCATAATGATCTATAAGATCATATCTATAACTCACGTGCTTTCAGAATATGTAATAAAAATTGGGGGTCACTAAGCCGAATGGTTAATTTTACCGACCTCAGCCTGCCCAGTAAACTTACCACGGTCTCGGTTAAACTAATCACGCTGGTCAAGAAGTCCAATCCGAACGTGCAACACGGTTAAATCTTCTTCCATGTTGACACCGCTCAACAAAACCGGAAGTTGAAGTCACAAACTAGTGCCCGCAATAATATTTTTTATACACAAGGTTAAATCTTGGTAAAACTATGGTAAAACTAACCGCGTGAATAATCCAAGTGCGAACAATGGTGAAATGTACCCATGACTTTGGTTACCCTGGTTAAATTTACCATTTTTTAAATCCAGTGCGAACAGGGCTTAAGAATGGCCTAAAACGTGCTCTAATTTAGTCAAAAAGTGATTTCAAGCATTTCAAGCAGAAATTTTGGCGCACGCGTAAAATTTCGGTACATTATATTCAACATTAACCTGAAGTTAATGCCCACTTAATACGATTTCGAAATGGCAATTGGTTAGGCTGATATGATCGATAATGTAAAAACGCAAAATTGCGCGTAGTTGACGTCACGCATGACTGAGCGCGTTGGATCACCAAAAAGCGACATACTGTATAGGGAAGGAAGACGTAGGCCTACCCGGTAATAAGGACGGACTCTTATCTCATGATAACGAAGAAATGAACTTTTACGTGTTTTTACATTGTTAATCAAAGACCGCAATAAGCAGACAGAAAATCAAATACAGTAGGCCTACTAGGCCTATTTTTGATATGACATCTAGGCCTATCAGAAATTTTTCGTCTAATTTTTTTGAAGTCCACTTTGTAGTGATTATAATATTGAAACAAATGATCAAACAGTAGATACCAAACACTCTCAACAAGTATTTTATTGTAGGCTATTTACAAAAGGATAGTAATGGATAACAACACAAACATCTTGCGACGGTACTTCTTTTCACATATTATTATCCCCTTCTAATAATGAGTCATGAGCAATAAAAATACATAGTTTTTGTGAACTTATGGGGCTGATACCTTACTCTATAATTGCAGGACTGATAAAGATCATGTAAGATAGATAGGCCTATGTATATCATTAACACACGCACATAATATGTGGCAATACATTATGTTTTAATGTAAATATTTTGCTTTTTTTGGGGAACGTAATTTAGGAATCGCGTGAAGTACAAGGGTCAAACTCATTATTGGAATACAAATAGTAGACACATCGATTATTAGGCCTATGTGCATTAAGCGATAATTAATTATATCGAGAATCTTCAAAAAATGTATTTCCTGACATCTAATCATTTTTAACATACAAATTTAATCCATAACTTATATGACATCACATGATACATTTGTAAATTATTAGCTTTCAATTATATATAAACTTTGTATAGTTACAAACCGCTTCGAACTGCTCCTCGCCTAGGGTTCGGTTGGTAGAACCAACTTTTATCATTTTATGGACATTAAATGGCGGTCCAGTGTACACACCTGACTTACAGTATTCTAAAAAAAAACCCAACATTTCAAAGAGAGCGTTAGGCAAAGATCTTATAAACACAAGCTAGCGTTCTCCGCGATTTACGCGTAACAAATAGAAGCGTCGGTCAAGGTTCAAAAGTTTCCAATTAAATTTTAGCAAGAGAGCGCCATTCATGCCTTATTACAGAATTTGCACGCGTAAATCGCGGAGAACGCTATCTTGTGTTTATAAGATCTTTGGCGTTAGGAGACATCATGCAGGACCTTTGTAGAACAGCAATTAACTGTTCAAAATATATTTTTGTAGGAAGGAAATTTACATATTGGTTCCCACCACCCCGATCTTAGTATATCACTCCTGACCCAACCTCTGGCATAATTATGATGTTTCCTTAAGGTCAATGGACTTTTTCGCTAAGTTCCGCCCCTTGGATATTGTTGCTAAGATCCGACAAGACGACAATGGCCGTATTCGACTGGTCGTTCTTCGTTAAAACACGCCCACAGCGGTATAATCCTACTTAACGAAGACGAACAGTGGAATCGAAAACTGGAAAATACTCGACAAAACACAAATAATGGCTGCATAGTTACCGTGATACAAGCTGCGTAATCAAGGCTGCCTCAGATTGTGGCAGTATGGGTTTTTCGTAAAAAAATGTTTTCATCCAGTTTTTGAATTCTGTTAGCCCACAATTATTATTTTTTGACTTCATTGTTGCTAAACTGAGCAATGGCCATTTTTTGGTCACGTGCATATCTTAACGCTGATAAACGCATTCTGGTTACGTTAATTTTCGACGTCTATTTTACGAACCAGTCGAATGAAAATAATACTCAACGAAAATTCGTACTCAACGAAATGAACCAGTCGAATAAGCCAAGTTTTAAATACCTCCATGGTTAAAAAAATACACAAACACACGCGTTTTGTGGGACAACACGTGTGTTTGTAAAGGCCAACTTAGACAGCGTCGGCGGACGCAGCCCGACGCGATTTGTTGTCGCGTCGGGTCTGTGTAAAGGCCAACTCAGACAGCGATGGTGTGCGTCGGGGGTAGTCGCGTAGTAGAATATTAAACATGTTTAATATTTCTCACGACGGCTTAAGACTGTCCCCGACGATAAATCGGGTCGGGCTGCGTCGGCCGACGCTGTCTGAGTTGCCCTTAAGACGCGCGTGTATTCCTAGTTCTGTTCTGATTAGTCAGAGATTGATTGACACACTGGAAAGGGCTATTGTAATTTAACGGTAGCTGATTTTTATGAAATAAAAAAAACCTTTTTTTTTGTCTCTGTCTAAATGAAATGAGATGATTCCTCCATGAATAAATAAACTGCAAGAAATACAGGCCCGTAGCCAGGGGGGGTTTTTATGGTTCGGGCGAACCCCCCTTTTCTAGCGAACCCCCCTGTTTTCTAGCGAACCCCTGCCACATCTCAGAAAATAATTTCTAATTTTATTATATTACCACCTTTTCATTACATAGATCTTTTTCAAAACATAGGCCAAACTGCTTTTATAACATTATTATAGACCCATTAAACACAAAAACTGCCACCGTGGCCCCAGGCACCTGAACCCCACCAGGGGTGGCGACAGGGGGTGGACTCTAATATCGATTTAATAAGCCTTTGAAACCCCTGAATTGTCAAAATTTTCGGGGGCTTCACCCCCAGGACCACTTTTGGAACCTATTAATTGAAGCTCGACCACGCCCACTTTGCTTTCTTCTGATTAGTCAGAGATTGATTGACACACTGGAAAGGGCTATTGTAATTTAACGGTAGCTGATTTTTATGAAATAAAAAAAACCTTTTTTTTTGTCTCTGTCTAAATGAAATGAGATGATTCCTCCATGAATAAATAAACTGCAAGAAATACGAACTATAAGTATGGCCGTATTCGACTGGTCGTTCTTCGTTAAACCACGCCCACCTGCGCAGCGGTAAAATCCTACTTTAACGAAGACGGCCAGTCGAATAGAAAACTTGTAAATACTCGACAAAACAAAATGGCTGCATAGTTACCGCGATACACGCTGTGTAATCAAGATTGCTTCAGCTTGTGGCGTTATGGGGTTTTTATTTAAAAAAAATATTTTCATCCAGTTTTTGAATTCTGTTGGCCTACGATTATTTTTTGACTTCATGTGGGTAGGCCTAAATACTATAATTTTTATTTTCTGAAATTTAATCTAAATCATATTAACACAAATGTTGTTTCTAAACTCACCAGTCGGTCATGTTTGTTTTGGTCACGTGAGTAACTTAACGAGGATTAATGCACTCTGGTTTACGTTAATTTTCGTTGTCAACGACGAAGCCTATTTACGAACCAGTCGAATAATACTCAACGAAAATTCGTACTCAACTAAATGAACCAATCGAATAAGCCACATAGGTCAATTATATTTAAATTGTATATATACAACAGGTGTACCATAAAAAATGTGTTATGAGTACACATGTTACAATATGCTATGTATTATCTGATAAACCTACTGATTGTATTTTGAATTAGGCCTACAATAAGTGAATACGTTACAGTTTCGAATAATAGACTACTGATATAATGTTTATTATTTAGTCAATGGTTTATCTATGGCAGACTATGATAGGTACTCCTCCATGGGCGTCGATTGGTGTGCCCCCCCCCCCCATTTACAAGTTTTCTAAAGACCCAACTTTTCAAACCGAGTGGAAAGATGAAACCGTTACGAATTTTGTCTGTTCATTTGTGCTCTGTTTACAGGTGGATATTTCCGGATTAAAACCGAGTGAAAAAAACAACCCAATTGTTTGTACTACGTCGTATCTCAGTAACCACTCAATTTTTTAATTAACCAGTTTCCAGAGACTCAATTTATTGTGAAACAAATGTACACGTTAAAATTGGAAGCGTGTAAACCTATGAGGCCGGCATCTTACAAACTCGAAAGTGCACAATTTCTGCTATAAACAATTTATTTATTTTTTATATTATTAATACTCAAACATTTAATACCCAAACATTTATAAGGCGCCAATTCCAATTGAATCAAAAGCGCGAGCGTTATTAAGACCCGTGCTAGTGTTTTAATTTCTGCATATTTAGAATCCTAGTTAGTCAATTGAATTTTATATAGCCCTTATATACAGCCGATGACACGTTGTGTTTGTGAATTAAAATGCTAATGTTTTATGCGGGCTTCCTATCTCCCTAGTCCTGTTACCGTAGATCGTAAATTAGACGGTAGCATTTCCAATCACAATATAGTGTAGTCGCAATACAAAAAGAGGAGAAAAAGAAAAAGCTGTTGATTGATTTTTAAAAAGTACTGTACATGCAAAGAGACTAGATTAGAGTGACTGTTTTAAATTTATTTTATTTGTTTCTTAAGGCTCAAATACGTCACAAGCTAATCAGTAGATAATAAATCATTATTTGTATGAACGTTAAATTATCACAAATATATTATAAACGGGCCTATGATTATGATTACTGATAAATTGAACACTTCTTATGATGAATATTTCAGTGGCAGATTCAAGGGGGCCCAGTCGGCCCCTACATAAATATTCAAAGTAAAACAAAAAGAAAATTATATTATATACCTCAGCCCCAACCATGGTTTGGCTGAGGTGGTCTAGACCCCCACTTGTGAAAGTTATTCCCTGGGCCCCCGCTATTTCAAATCCCTGGATCCACCAATGTAAGTATATTGATAAATGTTAATAGTTAATTTTATTACTTAAAAATCAATTAGATGACTTACAATAGGCTAGAACACCCGAGCTTCCGGGGGGCTTCTCCCCCACCCCAGCTGGTCCCCTAGCCAGGGCTTGCTCCTACAGCCTAAGATCCTCATTTTGCAATTTGCCACCCCCCCCCCTCGCCCCGCCACACTTTCAAACACGCCCTTGGACAGATCTACCAGGTCATAGAGATATACGTAATAGAGCAATAAAAATCAGGGGAGTCAACTTTGGGCCGAGGCTCAATGTTAAAATGAGGTACATTTCTACAAGGGGTCCAGCTTAGATCCTCCACGGAAACAGTCTGTTTACCTAGATGCAAATAATGAATAATAATGATGGTGATGATGATGATGAGTCGATGGTGGAATGACGACGATGACGATAACAATTAGGCCTATGATGACGACGACGATGATGACAGATGATGGTAAAAATGTTGACATAGGCGGTGCTATGGTTTGAGTGATGGAAATACTAATGCAAGTTACTAATGCAAGTTATAGTGAAGTGAGTCTAAGCTGGTGCGGGTGCGGGACAAAAGCCCCGGGAAAAATCAGGGGTTTTATTAGATATAGAAAAAATTGAATGGTTTTTATTTTCGTCGTGAGCCACGAACGTAAAAATCGGTAGGCCTAGTTCTCCTTTACCTGTCGGACAAACATGGAACAACCCCGCCCCAGCCATTGAACTAAAAATATTAATTGACCGATCCAATCGAAGTTATAGTGAGGGCCCTAAGCCATGGGGGCCCGGGTTCACTGAACGCCGGTATTTACGCCACTGCTAGTTTCATTGGAAAGAAAACAAGTAAATTTTTGGAAACTATATTGTTTTCATGTATGTCTCAGAATTAGATGTTCATAACAGTTAAGTTATTTAATGTTTTATTGAGCTATTTATTGCACATTTCCTCATTAAGTAACATTCTAAAAGCAATGATAGCCATTAATCCGTGATATCTGTTACATATATATTTGTTTTCTAGGCATCGTTTCAATCCAGTCGAGCCACCTTAAAAGGCTATTTCCTGGCAGGAAAGAGTATCTTATGGTGGCCAGTTGGAGCCTCGTTGTTTGCTAGTAACATTGGAAGCGGGCATTTCATCGGCTTGGCAGGTACGGGGGCTGCATCTGGCATTGCTGTTGGTTCTTTCGAATTCAATGTAAGATATTCATTCAGCCCTGTTCATACTGTCCAATTTTATTTGACAAAACATTTGACATGCCTAAATATGGTCATGATGACATCACCTCATGATCATTTATAGCCACATCATGACTATAAGGGCATACAACAGTTTTTTGTTTGTTTTTTTTTGTCAAAGAAAGAGTGTGGACAGAGCTTATTAAGAAAAGTGGTCTATTCGTGTTTTATACTAACTACAATTAACCAATTCTTGGCTATGTTCTTACACGGCTGCTAACGGTTAGCAGGATCCGGATCCTGCTAACTTTAGCTGCCGTGCGTCCGAGAAAATCCCGATCCGGATACCAAAAATATGATCATCGAATCACTGGCCAATAAGAAACTATAAATTGTAAACGCGTACGTGTGATTGGTTGATGATAGAAACATGCTCAACTTGCTAACCGATAGTGCTTGCTAACCGTTAGCGGTATCCGAATACTGCTAACGGTTGGCGCTAACCGATCGGGCGTTCTCACGCAGGTGCTAACGGTTAGCGCTAACGGTTAGCTCCCGATCCGGTTACTAGGGCTCTCGTGAGAACCAGGCTATAGTTGTTTTAACTTATCCAACAAGTCGATAATATATAAGACACGTTGTGTTGTGTTACAACGACGTACGTATGTATTAATGCTATATCACGGTTCTATCTTCAATGCCTATTGTTGAGAGGGCATACCAAGAGCTAATTCACTGCATCATAATTCAAACTATAATTAACAGAGGTCATTAAATAATACTACCTGTAGTAGGCCTGGCTGCTGACTTCGGTATAAATTTTAATTAATCTCTGAAACTTTATAGTTTTTTTTTACGCCAGGTTTCATTGAAATGTAAATTAATGACCTTTTTGATAAAAAAACATTTATTGAATAGGTCTACAGTTTTTTTTATTTTAATTTAAAACAGAGACAATCTGATTTTTACATGCCTTTTATGTAAGAATATAAAGGTAGCTGGATGTGTAAACTTCTCTCACTCTCAACCCCTATTCCGTCATAAATCGACCCTTGATTTATGGTTGAACCATGGAGCTGGTTGAACCAAGTGCTATAAAACCAGTTTTAAGTACGGGTATGTTTGTTCTTCGTTGCAGGCAATGTTTATACTGTTGCTACTTGGCTGGATTTTCCTGCCAGTGTATATATCATCAGGGGTAAGTACATTGACATAAGAAATACCATGGTTAATACTACACACACAATGAGTGAGGATTAAGTTTCTTTTTACAACCACTAAACAGTAATCTGGATATATAGGCCTACTTATATATTCTCTATATTTATCGCAAATGGAGAGACGTCTTTTGTAATGGAGTAAACAAACGTAAGTCACAGATCAACAAAAAATATTTGTGTATTAATTTTTTTTAATGGCCAAATAAACCTCATATTTAAATTATTTTCTTGAGTTTGTTTTGGGAGTAGCACGAAAAATGCACTAGTGCAGGAAACTATTAATCAAGCTTTATTTCCATACAAACGCTACACGCTATCGGTGATGCTGATTCATCGGTCGAATTGGGGTGCCTTTCCGATCGCGCAGTTCAACAGTTGCACTGAAAAACTGTAGCGGCAGTGTAGCGATTTTAAGGAAACCAGACTTAAGTTTAGTTTGGAATTTATTAAAAAACAACCAAATGTAATACGACAACTAACCCATCTACAAGGAAGATATCCTTTTGAACAACTACGAAATAACTAGGCATTATGTGTATATTTAGTAAAGATCATCTAGGAAATTCTGTAGAGTGAAAGAAAGTTTGATACTGATAGGCCTATATATTTGGTTAAATTTCAGATTTACACAATGCCTGAGTATTTGAGGAAAAGATTCGGCGGCCAACGAGTGAGGGTGTACCTTGCTTGTTTAGCACTCCTTCTCTCAGTACTAACTAAAGTATCAGTATGTATACCTTGTTGTCATTACGTAAACTAACGTTTTTCTGCACCCAACTTTTGTTTATATTTAGTGGTTTTATAAAGTTGTACGTAATAATAAAATTTAAGTCTACATTAATTCATTCATTCATGGGCCTTTAACAACGTAGCATGTAAACTTGCGTGGGCATGAGCGTATTCGCTCTGATTGGTCAGTAGTCTTAAAAAACCTTAAGTAAACGCCAGCAAAGCTACTACATTGACCAGTCAAAACAGTTAATTTTCAATGTGAACCACTTAAAATTATGTGCATACTCCAACCGCAAACAAGCGTGCGTGCAGCTCAATATTTTTCACAAGAGGGAGAGCAGGCCTAAGATAATTAATAGAAATTCATTCATTCATTTCACTTTGAACTCTATTTATTTATTCTCGAAATTGAAAGAGTTACAGTTTGATATGAATATCTTCGTGGCTAGAAATACGGTACCGTATTTTTACTTCAATTTGCTATAAGGAATGTTCAAGAATGTGAGTGACATCATCTTTCAAGACTAGCATTGCAGATCACCCACGATGAGCGGTGGGCGAACGATTTAGGCCCCGGGTATTCAACCTTTTTAAGTTGGGTGGGTGCTGTCTCTTATACACATCTAGATGTGTATAAGAGACAGCTACTACATTGACCAGTCAAAACAGTTAATTTTCAATGTGAACCACTTAAAATTATGTGCATACTCCAACCGCAAACAAGCGTGCGTGCAGCTCAATATTTTTCACAAGAGGGAGAGCAGGCCTAAGATAATTAATAGAAATTCATTCATTCATTTCACTTTGAACTCTATTTATTTATTCTCGAAATTGAAAGAGTTACAGTTTGATATGAATATCTTCGTGGCTAGAAATACGGTACCGTATTTTTACTTCAATTTGCTATAAGGAATGTTCAAGAATGTGAGTGACATCATCTTTCAAGACTAGCATTGCAGATCACCCACGATGAGCGGTGGGCGAACGATTTAGGCCCCGGGTATTCAACCTTTTTAAGTTGGGTGGGTGGGGGGGGGGGCAGTTCCTATCTGTTTAGACCAGCAGCGGGCCGACATAACTTGTGTACTTCCATTTTTGTCTATATCAACCCCACCCATTTTCTTTTATAGCGGTGGTTTTAAAATAGAAGGACCCAGGGAAAAACTTGGCACCTCTAGATGGTCGGAAATGACAATCTTAGAATATTTGAATATAATTTTCTTTTCTTCTCCATTTCATTTTAGAATTTTGAAAAAAACAAACAAAAAACACTTGCACTCCATGTTCTCGTACCCTGCCACTAGAAATTTTTTATATCAGAAAAATATCCACTCAAGTGGTTAAGGTTGAGGTGAGCAAATTTTTTTAACATAGGTACCTCTAGATTCCACAGGAAATGGCACTTTCAGACTCAAAAAATATAAATGCCCCCAAGCCTGCTGGTGCTGCAAATTTATAGACATCGCATCATGTCAGCACCCCACTTAATACAGTATTGGTAAGTCTACTCCACCCCATGTCAGTACCACACTCTCTGTAAACAATGCTAGAGTAGGGGTGCCTAGGTGGTGTTTCAATAAACAGAAAAACAGAAAAATGTCGGCCAGAAAAATGATTTATTTTTAGCGATGTTGCGCGGGCCGTATCAAAATCTTTGGCGGGCCGGATTTGGCCCGCGGGCCCGGGGTTGAATACCGGGGATGTAGGCCTACTGGGTAATTAGATCAAAAAGTACAATGCTGTATTTAGTACTGTCATCGATAAAATATGGCGTATGGTTCCACTCAGCATAGACAAAATATTTTCTCTATGCACGCAGTAAAGAGTGATGTCATTTATCTATAGCCAATCAAGCAAGGACTGAAACTGAAGCCTCTAGGCATAATCTAAGCATGGAGGATCTAAAGCAAGGCCGGGCCTTGCTTGAATTCTTCGTTTGGCGGCAACCCTGCTGTAGTGACAGTTTGACCTGGGTGGCAGTCAATTCCTCAATAAAGCTATTTTATGCTACCAGCTATAGATATATGCTAGTTTAATATGCTTCATAAAGCTATTTCATGCTACCAGCTATATCGATGCTATTTCAATGCTTTCTAAAGCTATTAAATGCTATGGACCAATATTGTGGCTATGTGAGAAACACTCTTTACAATCCGACCAAAATATAGATCGAGAATGAGTTTCCTCAATCGTAATTATTAGTGTCAAGTTTTTCGACTATACTTTTGAGGCATGCCCATTTAAAACAGTACTACGTTATACAAAGTGCCAGTAACGCCTCAGTTATCAGACTTCTCAAGTGCTACGGATTGTCTGTAGTTGCTGCCATTTTCTACGGAAATTTGGCCGAATTACGGACTTACGGAATTTGAAATGAAGACAATACTACGGAAATATTCCATTTCTACAAAAATTATAATTTCGCCCATCATAATTATAAAAAACACAATTATTCTCAATAGAAAAACCCACAAAGTGAGCACGTACACGAAAAACGATCGATCGTCGACGAAACATGACACGCCAGCAACGCACACAACCATTCCATGACCTTGATTATGCCTCTGGCAAGTTTGTATGCTTACATCTGCATCATTTACTAAAGATTATACATATTGGCTACGGTCACACTAGAGTTTCAAGCCTGACTTGACTCACCGCGGGTGAGATTTTCGTAATGTGATCGAATGGCACTTAGGTGCTTCCGTACTTTACGGCTCTGCTGTTTCGACTTTCATAATTTGGAGGTCAATCCAACTAGTGTGATCGACCCAGAATTTCGAGTCTGGCTTGAAATCTCACCCGCGTTGCGTTGAGTCAAGCCAGGCTTGAGACGCTATTACAGATTCCAAGAATGATAAATAATAATCATATAATAAAAATAATTATTATGATTATATTATAGTAGGCCTATTTGTATTTATAATTTATTTAGCCTGGATAACAGGTTAGTACTATACATACAGGGCATATATATACTGATATATACTAATACAACTACCATAAACTAACACAAAGTTAAATAAATTGAAAGGCAATGATTATTACCATTTTCCACACTATTAATATTTATCTATTTTTATATTATTTTATATATTTTATTTTTTATTTTTTACTCATTGACCATTAATTCCATTGATCTATGTTGAGGAATTTTAGTTGAAAAATAATAATTCATAGCGCGATTTGAAACAACTGGTATCAGGTATTTTTCAGGGTTGGATCTATAATTTTTCAACAGCTAACACATAAAACTGACATGCATTGAAATTTAAAAAAATTAGTATCAAAATGATTGTGAGGGTGGGAGGGGGTTGTTGCTACTGGATCCGCCATTGTTTTTAGTAAGTAAATTTAGATTTGAATATATGTATGCGAAATGAAGAATTCTTATTTTAACATAGGCCTATCTGGTTTAATAAATGAATTTATTAAATATGGAGGTTTATTAGTTTTCCGTTTGTTAAAAAACTAGATTACAGTAAGCTTCTAATGTGATGCATTGTGGTCCAAAGTTGGACGCAGTCTTGTTACACGTTACTACTGAAAATAGTCAGTTGCTACTGAAATTTTGAGTTTTGGTTACTAAAATAGCTTTTACCAACTTGAGAAGTCTGCTTTATGAATTTTCTTATTTACAGTTTACAGTATATTCACTTTTTTATTGCAAGTGTTGTCATGTAAATAGATTATTAGAACAAAGACTGACTAGTATGCCAACTCTGTTATTAAGCGAAGACACTTGCACTTACA